ATCAGATTATATTTTTAAAAGGTAATTAATATATGAGACCGGAGGAATATTTGAGAAGATATAAAAAAACATCGACCCGAAAATGAAACTCTACCCCGACAAGGAAGAGGATACCACCCCACGTGACTGTCTCATCTCAGTCTGTTAAAACTCCGAAACTTCACGAAAGAGATATTTATTTTAAAAAAAGAAATGAGTTTTGCATTATTTGCAGCTTCAAAATACGAGATTAGAAAGCATTTGTGGAAATCTCACAGCAGTACTGTTCAACGGACTAGCATGGGTGCTTCACCGTTATCATCTCTGATAAGTTCTGGGTCATCCAAATTTAATACAAAACATGACCCTCACCAATCATCTCTTCAAAATTATTTGAATTTGAATGTTTGTTAAATTATTTCTATACTTCAACAAAATTTCCTAAAAATTTGATGTTCTATTATGAAAATTTGTTTTATTTAAGAAGAATCCCTAAAAAAAATATTTTGTATTTCTTCAAAAGTCTTCAACGTATCTTTAAGAAAAATTGTTTGAAGATTTTTTAAGATTAATGAAAACTCTTGTAGCAAACTGAAGATAATTGAAACCAATCGAAGAAATTTTTCTTGAAGATATGTTGAAAACTTTTGAAAAAAATGTGGATGATAATTGAAGTTATTATATTTAGTCCACAATTGTAACCAATATTCAAAAAAGAAATATTTCCAAGTTTTGTTACAGGTTAACATTCTGAAAAATCTTCCTGTAAACAATATTGATTGTACTACTCTAGGGTTTTTGTTCTGCATCATGGATGAGTAATTTTAGACCTTCTTCTTAACTCTTGACAATGCAAAACATATAATTGATCATGAGTGAAGACAAGCTTAGGAAGATAGACTCCAATTCTTGAGAGCAGTTTTCCTTGACTATAGTTGATAGCCAATTGCAAAAGAAACTACTAAAGGCAACAATCATGTCCCGAAAATAGAGAGTGATTGGCAAGTGATGTGAACTATGTCACACATTCCATAAGCCTTAAACTAAGACATTTTTCCATTTCCAAAAGTAAATATATTTATATTGAAATTATAACCACCTTGATAATTTTCATATTAACAAAAGCTTCAAGAAACATGAGGATTCGGGAGAGCACCTCCAGTTTTTGGGTGATTTGACTCCCCCACACACCACTAAGACAAACGAGAGTGAAGGAGATAGAACAGCAAAGGGAAAGACGACTGTACAACGGCAGCGTCAAACACTTCACAGTCACCAGCGACGAGATGGGCAATGAAGAGCACGGCAAAGAAGTGAACAATGGGATTGCTGATCGACGCTCTCTCAGTGTCTCTCTTGCTCTGGATTCTTTGAATGCTAAAGGTGAAGGAAGAAAGGAGGAAATGAATACTATTGCAAGCGTGCGATTTCTGATCTCTGATTTTTTTTAATAAGGGCAAAATGGTAATTTCGTATGGATGAAGCAAAAATAATAATATTCATTTTAGCACCACTAGGATTCAAACATAGGACCTGATAAGCAATAACCAAGAGAAATTCCATCGGAAAATAAACTTGACAGTAGCTTGAGATTGAACCTTTATTTTAGGGAGATTGGCATTTCGTTTTCCGGTAGGCCTGTGGTTGAGTTTGCATTTGAAGTTGACATCTTTAATTAGAAGATATCTCAACATTCATATAGGCTTTGGAATCTGCAAGAATAGGATACCGGCGGCTGGAGCCAGACCTTGGGTTAGAGGGGGCAATTTTCTTTTTTTAATTTTTTTTCAAAAATCAATTATATAGATTTATTATTTCATTGGACTTTGAGTGAAAAAGTATTTAAAAAAAATTGGTTTGAGTTTAGAGAAAGAATAAAATGGATTTAATGTTCAAAACGTTAAAAAGATGGGATGCAAAATATGAAAAGAAGAGGGTGCAAAATTTAAAATTCTACATCAATTATATGTAATTTTCCAAAGTGAGGGGGTGCTTGCACTCACTTGTATGTGGCTTCACCACTGATTATCACAATCAGTGACGAAGCCTAGATCTTGGACCAGGAGGGGCGAAATCATTTACATATTTATAATTTAAAAAAATAATAAAAATTATTTAATAATTACATGCCTTATAAATTTTCTCTATGTGGTTTCATGTTTTGGAATTGTTAAACAATCAGCTTATTGTTAATACTTTTAAATATATCTTTTTTAATATAAGTCACGAAATAATCATTCATCTATAGATTCCTCATTTGATTGTGCAACCGAATTTTTACAAACTTTATAATAGAAAAGGGTCTTTCAATTATTTCTGTGACAATAGGTAACATCATTGTTAATTTCAAAAGAAGGTAAACTAATGGATAAATAATGTGTCTTCCAGTTTTAACTAATTTTTTCACAAATTTGTTTTGAGATTTCAAACAATGCAGGCGAGATTATTTTTTTCTTATTTTCTTAAAGGTTTAATAAATGTTATTTTTTTATAAAATAATATTACTATTTGGGTATATTGAAATTGTGGGCTAAAATTTATTGGGCTTTTGAGTTAAAAAAATTAATTTTGGATCTGAGTTAAAAAATAATATGAAATGATTTAAAATGCAAATCATAAAAAGGAGGGGGTGCAAAATATAAATACCTATACCTCCATTATTATGTAAGTAATTTTTCTCATTTGATATGCCCTCCTTAAATATATGTGGCTGCGCCACTGATCACAATTGCCAACTCTCAAGGGAATGATATAATTTCATGCAGCTTGCTCATTTGGCGATTTAATAACATGTCTCAATAACCAAACACTATATTTGGATGTATAGAATTTTGGATTTGAACCAAATATATTGTTTGGGCAATTAAAAATATATAAATTTGGATTTGACCAAATTTTAAATTCAAGTTCTACCTCAATCTCTTTGTAGTTTAAAATTCTTTTCAAACTTTTATTATTTCAAATCCTACTTCAATCTCTTTATAATTTAACTGACTCTTCAATGGTGCCAAGTAAGACCAGATTGCTGGAGGCAACCAAGACTGGGTTGCTGTCCCCAATTGGGACTAGATGACTGACTTTCATTGGGATCGAATCACCAATGATGTCAATAGGACCAGATTGTTGGAGGCGACCAAGACTATGCCACCACTACCAACTGGGACCAAACAATCGACTTCTGTTAAGACTAAATCACCAATGCCTATTGGGACTGGAGTGTAGGTGACGACTAAGACTGGATGGCTGACTTCAATCGAGATTGAGCCACCAATGCCAATTGGGATTGGAGAGTAAGTGACAATCAGGACCAGACAGCCAACTTTCATCAAGACTAGATAGCCAACTTTCACTGTGATCGAACTGTCGATGCCAACTAGGATAGAACCACTAGCGCTGACAAGGATCGGATTGCCAGGACCAATCAAGATTGGACAACTGTTTTAAATTCAAGCATAGAATTTGAAATTTTACTTAAGATTCAAACAAAGGATTATAATATTATAATTTAAAATTTTTTATATCATTCAAACAAAAAATTTAGAATATACAAATTTCAAATACGATATTTCAAAATCAAATTTATAACTTAAATTTACCCATCCAAATACAACCTTAGTAAATTCTTTTAATTTCAATGTTTATAATATTCACAACTAAAATTATTATTAATTTATTTAAATAACCAAGAAAGCCTAGAAATTAAGAATAACCTAACTCTCCAATAACCTCAGCAAAATCTTTCAATCACAAAATAATAGTATTGATATTATTTTATTTACAAACATACGTTATAAGTGGAAAATAACAATATCGTGTATTTATAATTGATTAAACAAATGTATTTGAGATATTGAAAATTGTCCTCATTATTTATGGCTCTTCTTACTATCATAATTTAAAAAGATTAACCAAGTGTCCTTAATTAAAAAAGAGACCCACGTGATGAAATAGAATTGAAGCTTTGAGTACCACTTCCAAGGTTTTAAAAACTAGACCGGTTATTGAATCAGACTAGTAACTGGTTCACGGTTCATTAGTTCAACCATGGCCGAATCGTGGTTGAACCAGTTGACATAAATTAATATATTTTTAATTTATATATCATAATTAAATTAGAAATATATATGCACAAATTAATTTTTAAAAAAATTTAATTAATTTAGACAAGTTTTTAAGGAAACTGGTCTAGTTTTCAACAAGTTTTGCTGGCGTTTGACTAGTTTTTTTAGCCATCAATCAGTTCCTTTGTGGCTAGTTTTGAGGAGTCAACTGAACCAAATCAAGAGCGGGTTCCAAATTCAATTGATTGAACCAGACTGTTCGGTTTGATTTTTAAAACAATAAACACCTCCATATGGATATTATTATTTCTTACTGTCAACCTATTAAAACTCTATAACAACTTTGGAAAAAAAAAAAAAAAAGCTTAAATGAGTCCATTACCCTTAATAAAAAGAGTCATGGCTATACAAAAATCTAAAAGCAAGTTCAAATATAGATGAGTGATGATTAAAGAGATGCTTTACATTTCATTATTAATACAGTCACAACTAAATATTACTCTAAATCCACTTCGGCAACCTTAGTTACCATGAGGGAAAAGGATTAATTATTTTCTTTGATCAGGAAAACAATAATATATATATATATATATATATATCCATTTAGACTTCTATACATTTCATATTCTAGCAGTGCTCTCGCACATATATTTCATATTTTACTTTTAATGAATTTTGTATTCAAGTGCTTTTATATTAACACATACCACTTTGTAGTGTCTCTTAACTTAATCACACATTATATCATGTAACATATATTCGAACACAGGATAACAAATACGATACAATATAACAATGCATAACATCACACTACATAATATTTCAATCTTTTTAAGACTAGCTTGTTGTAACAAGCCTTATCTTATACAAAATATCCTTTATTTCTTGATAGATATAGATAGTTTGGGACTTGTTAAATAAAGTCCTTATATTGTTTTCTTCCAACATATACTATAAGGGCTAAGGACAATATTGGTTTCTCCCAGGACCGCCGTAGAAGAAGTAGACACCCCAATCATTAGAAGAGTAGCAATAGGGATTGGAAACGTAAGTGTTAAGGTATTTAGGAGAGACAAGATTATTATTTGCATCAACAATAGAAAGCTCCTTGAAAAAGCTAGCCTTGCCATAACCTTCTTGAGGGAAGTAGCCACTTCCCATGCCTGTTGTGGTGTGTTGCCCATTGGATCTCAGGTTTACTATTTCACCGCCCCACCCAACATGTGTTGCACCAGCATTATTTATGCGATTGAACAAAGAAGCTGGCCAGTATCCTATAGATGTATTCCCAACTTGCATCCACCAATTTCCAGTTTTTGGATCCTGGTCAATCATTATTATCATCATTATAATTGTGTGATTATATTTTACAAAATAGTGGAATCTTATGACGTGGTCCATTAGGGATTCTTTGAAATTTATTAATTGATGGATTGAATTGTTTGGATATCTCAAGGAATATGTGTTCTTCCAAAAGAAAGAGAGAGAAAAAATTAATATATAATTTTTTAGGGATTAAGTTGTAATCGAGTTATATAGTGTAGGGGCCAATGGATTAAATGGCTAAAACTTGAGGACCTAAGTCTACCTAAGGATGTTCAAAACTAATCCAAATAGACATGAACTGATCAAAACTAATTACAAATAAGATCTGCTTTGTTTTTTTATTTCAGCAAAACTGATTTGTTTGGTTTAATTCAGGTTTTTATCTCTTGAACTAAACTAAACCAAGCTTTATTATAATTATTTTATATATTTTTATAAATTTATCAAAAAAAATTTCTCAATCCCAAATTTAGTTATCTATATATTACTAGTAAAAAATATGTTACAATTAATTTAATATTGTCTATATTTTTATGATAATTAAATTTTGTAATCAAGTGTTTTAAGGATAAAATATTGGTTTTTAATATTTAAATGTGCTAAATAATTGTTAAAAAATATTCTTTTGTTTTCAAGATATTTCTTTCATTGAAAATATTAATTAATAGTTAAAAATTAATTAGTAAATGTTCACACACACACACACACACACACATATATATATATTGATTATGAAGAATATATAAAAAAAAATCAAATTTGATCCAAAACTAAACTAAACCAAACCAAACCAATTAGAAGAAAAAACTGAATATATCCCACTTTTTGATAAACTAATTGCTTTGGTTCAGTTTGGTTTTTCCTCAAAACCGACCAATGAACAACCTTAGTCTCGCACCAAGTTGAACTTTAAGCAAGAATGAATTGTAACCCAGTTAATACCTTCCTGATGAGGATGGATAATACATTTTGAGAACCACCATAGACAGATGGTTGTAGGCTGCTTCTCACCGCTATTGTGTTATCAACTTGAACAAAGCCAGGCCGGCAGTCGAGGTTATAACATAAAGTTCGATATGAGTCCCTCTGTGGGATGAAAAAGGAATGTGTTAAAAATAATATAATAATTAACAACACAAATACTAATGGCTTGAGGAAAACAAGAAATTATATGTTGGTAAGAAATTTGAACTTACTATCCAGAATGTAAAAAGTCTAGGGTTGTCATCCCCGTATATTTCTGGATAGATCTAATTTTACAGAGAAACAGTAAATCAAGGAATTAGATAGACAAAAAGTAGTGTTCGTTGAAAAAATGTATGAAAATATACTCATCCAGATTATAGAATACCTGCCAACCTGCTTCGATGGACTCAACATAATTAGGAACAGCTTGATTCATAATCCAGATTTGAGAGAGACTAAATTCATTGGATTGTTGAACACGTGGCTTCCAAATGTTTATAGATGCCTTGGCTCCATAATATCTATCTCCTGACACATTAACTAGGGCGTACTAGAGGCACCAGAAGCAACAACGAAAAGAGAAAAATATGTCCAATATTCAAAACATACAACCAAGCATTTAAAAAAAATATGAAGCAAATTACAAGTCTTATATTTTAAGATATTGATAATTAACACTACTATATATATAAGGAAAATAGTAGTAACTCGTGGCCATTTGTAGAGTACAATGATCTTCTTATACTAAATTGTTGAAAAGAATCTGCCTTCAGTATGTCGTCTTTTGTTGTTCTTCTTATAGGAACGGTTCCTTCTGGACAACTTCCATTTTGATGCCACATTTGAGCAATTGGGTTTGATGAAAACTTGCTTCTTTTTGGAAGAAATGTTGGCCTCATCTTCATGTAATAGGACATAATTGGCCTTAGAATTATATTATTGGATAATCCAATAGAACAAAAAAAAAAAAGACAAATTATGATAAATTTTTTTACCTGAATTTTGTGATTTTTCAGTTTTGGATTATCAAAAGCTGGTTGATTTAAAATATGCACGCAGTCGATTACATCACCATCAGAGCTCTGCATTTTATAATACCAAATGTTAGCCCAAATATAATAGTATATTATAATTAAAACCCACAAGTAATTTATCTTAAGTATGAACTTAAAGTACATATAGCCTAGAATATTAACTGCCAAATGCATAAGACAAGATTTAATATCTTTAATTTTTCACATAAATGGTCATCTTCTTTCTTCACTTCGACCATTGCAAACATGGATAGTAAAGGCCCAAACTAACTTCTACAAATATAGTTTTTTAAAAAAAAACAAGAAAATACTTTTAAGAAATTAGTTATTTAAAACAGAAACTAAGTTTTAGAAGCCAAACACACGAACGGATCTAGAGTAGAAGTTAAGAAAGTTTAATAGTGTTGAAGTTTTCTGCTTTGTAGAAACATTCGAATTAAAATGTGAATCATACGTCATCAAAGCCAAATTGTATACCTGAATAGACTTAACAGCTGGTTTATTCTGCTTCTTCAAAAGCTTGTCAACCTCAAGTTCTCTAGCAAATCCTTCATTGCTAGTGGAGGCCCTGGCAAGCACCAAAGACAAGAAGAAGCAGAACAACACACTCACTGTCCAATTGATCTTTTCATTTCCTAGTTTCGCCATTGAAGCTGAGAAATAGGAAGCAAGCAATTATAGGAAAGTTCTCACGTGGATATTCATGAAGACTTGATCGTGCACAAATTTATAGAATGATTCATGCATTTCGGAAATTACTTTTTTTTTTAATTCTGCCTTTACTGTTACGGAACCCCATAAATGATAAATGTTCGGGACCATTTCAGGAAACCCAAACTTAATATTTCGAGTTCTTCTTTTTCGGCCAATCTATTGCCTTTCAAACGTGTTTTCTGTACCAGTTTGAGAAAAATAATCAATCATGCATACTTCACGTATTTTTTGTTTTCAGTCATGTGACCAGTCTCTCAAAGAATCTTAACACCATTTAAGGGGTTCTCTCATCTAAAAAGATTTTCCCTTTTAATTCACTCACTTTGATTTTTATCAAAAACATCATACTTGCCCTAGTATTTGGAGAAATTAATCATTTAGATTCTAAATTTTTTATTCAAGTAAAACTTAATCCTTAAATTATGATTCCATGTAATTTAATTCCTATAATTTTAACTTTATTAAAATTCAATTTCTAATCTTCAATTTTGATGCAATTAAGCCTCTGTAGTTTAAACTATTTAAAATATTAATTGCTATATTTTAAAAAATAAATTTATAAGGACTTGAGTTATTCTTTAAAATTTAAGGACTACTATTTTAAATTATTAAAATGGTATGAACTGAACTGAATTTAGGGACTAATATATATATATATATATATATGCGCGTGCGAACCCCTTTTCCAAACTAGGAGTGGGTTCCAGCCAGGAAAAAACAAAATTGCTTTTGGAAAAAAGGCATCCACGAATTCAGAGTATGGATTTGGATTTGGATTTGGTTAATGATTTAGATCTACTCGATAAGTATTTTAATTATGTCCATTAAATTTTATTAAAATTTAAAAATTTTCATGATATATTTTCTTTTAAAAATTTAAAACAATTTTCATGATAATTAGAACACTCTTTACCCCCCAAACTTTGAATTTAAATAATTTTTAAATATTTCATGACAAAATCTTTGATGAAGAAAAGAGGAAGCTAAGTAAGCACCTAAACGAAAGTTCTTAAGTGGATATTTATCATGACTTGATCGTGCCCAAATTTAGAGGACTACTTATGCTTTTCGGAAATTACTAGATTATTCGTTTTCTGGAAATTATTTGTTTATTTGTCTTCCTTTACTTTCACGGATCACCATAAATATTTTGGACCATATACGCGGAATCATTTGTGGGAATAGCCTAAATTAATAAATTTTGAGTTCTTCTTTTTCAACCAATCTAGGCTGAGCTTTCATGTTAGAGCGCTAAATAGGCGGGCCCAACACTTATGAGTTTGGCCCATATAAGCTGATGCCGGAAACTTGTTTATTTGTCTGCTTTTACTTCCATTATCAACATCATAACTTATTTAAAATGAAATTATTTATAAAATTATCATTTAAATAATTAAGAAATTTTTTCTTATGAACTATTTTTTAAATTTTAAATTAAATAAAACCATTCAAAATATATTTAGAAAATTAAATTTCTTCTTTTAAATATAGAATGAAGAATAAATTATATATAAGATCTAGAAACAAAAGGAATGATAATGAAAATTTGTTAATTTTAATTATTAAATTATTTTTAATTTTTTATTATTCATAATCTTTGTTTAGACCTAGTTCATATTTATCAAGAATGATGTTATTAAGCTAGTATTTTGATATGATATAATTAAAATCTGGATGGGTTTCAACCCAAAAAAAAAAAATATTGATGTGCGATTGCTTTCATTTATAATTAGGCTAAAATATACATAGATACTTACTTACTTTTATGATATCTAAAGTCAAATTTGTTTAAAGGATAGATGAAAAATAATTCACAATACAAATATTCTAAAATTTGATATTTCAAATTCAAATTTTTGTCATCATGTAAAGAAGTTATTGATAAGATTTTTATAACTGATTATTATAAATTTTCAATAAGCACATAAAACATCTCTACACTACAAAATATTTATGAAATTAAATGCTAAGAAGAATATGAAAAATTATTCATATCCACCTTATTATTATGGGAAAGAGAATGACTAGAGGTTAGATCATATATGAGATTCCTGTAATTATACTGTATTGTTATTAATCAGTACAAAATTTTTCAAAATGACTATTGAAAAAATTTATGTCATTAAAATTAATTTTGTATTAAAATGTTTTTTAAGATAATTGAAACATTGTAGATAAAATTTATTTTTAAGAAAAAAAAGAGAAAAATTTTACCATTTTTAGAGAAGATAAAAATTTATTAATTTTTGAGGAAAATATGGAGAAGATAAAAGTAAAGGTAAAAAACATAACATAATACAATTTGATGAATGAATAATATGCTTAATTAATGGCATTTAAAAAATTAAAATTAAAATTAACATTTTTCTTAAATGTTTATAAGAAAATTATTTGATAATTAAAATTTGATATTTGTTTTATTTATTAAAAATATCATATAACTAATCATATAAACATAAATTAGTTTATCATACTAATAATTTGATATATGTGTGTAGTTAAATTACATACACACACAGAGAGATGTGTGTGTGTGTGTGTTGCAATTACAAAAACGTTAAGCATAGAGGTTGCTTAAATTTGGTATTATTTGAATTCTGTAACATTTGTGAAATACATTAGAAATAGAGTAACATGAAAAATTGTGTACCCTATTTGTTGAGTTGTTTTTACTTTTTTTAATGTAAAATAAATCTCACGAGTTTCTCATCAGAGAGAATCTATTTCCGAACACGTTTGATGCATGCAATGTTCATTCCCGTGACTTTTAATATTAAAGTTGCCAAGTATGAAATAATATTTACAAGAAATAATTAAGGTTTGGTGTCAAAGTTGGGAAAGTACTTTGATTGTGGCTGAAATATTTGACTGGGGATTATGAATGATGAACTTAGTTGAGAAATTGAATGGATGTGTTATGTGTGTATGAAATGTCCGTTAAGTGACAGCGATGTTGTAGGTCCTCCCTACTATACCGGTATAAATGGATTAGGAGCAAAAATATTTATAAAATAATATACTACGTTGCTACCCAAAAAAAATAAAGTACATTATTTTATAATATTTATAAAATAAAATAGCACAGGATAAACAACGGTGAATATTAGCAACATTGATAATTTATTTAACTCAAGGGGGACATGAATTACATGTATTCAAATTTGTTCTAACTGCTAGAAATTTTACTTCAAGTATAACATTTTATTTTGTCATGCATCGCAGCCACATAATACAATTTGATTCAAAACACATTTTGAAGCTACCTTGGCTCTTATCTCTCTCTTCTCTTTGCTACCCAGGTCATCTCAAACCCTCCCCTCCCCTCCTGGATATGAAGTGTGACAA